CCGGAAAATTAAAGAGTTCCCGTGGGATACTTAAAAAACTGTAGTAACTTTACAGCTTAGTACAGTACACAAAACTACCTATTGGATTTTAATGAAACTTTACAATAATATAGTTCATACATCAGAATAACAAATAGGCTACTTTGTATCGCGGAAAAATGTACGGTTCCCGTGGGACAAATTTGTTTTTGTGTTTTGCCGCTAGTATTAATTGCCGTTAGTACATAAATAAACTACACGTTACCAAGAACTATTCAACTATAACAATAATAAAGTAGTTTCAATTTACTCAATACTGTGTTACATCTATTTAATTTTCCAACCGTAATACAAATTGCATTACACGATTGTTTACACATCGACTACGCCGCACTATTGACTGCGCAAAGTGATGGATATCTTTGAAAGGGAATTAACAGACCATTCATATATACTAACGAGGGGACTTTATGTTGACACTAGCCTATACGTATAAAGCATAATATAATATTATTTAATAATAATTAAATGCTGTACTTAAGTAAATTCTTTGCTTGAGCTAAGTTAAAAAAATGTCACTATCAACCGGAAACCTTTTATTTTCCGAAATATACTGCTTATAAGACTTCCGATCAAAACCGATCTATATATAAATATTAAATAGGCAAAACTAAAACTGTTACTTTTTCCTACTTTGTTTGTTAGCTAGTTAATTACGAGCTTCAGTGTTTTCTTTAAAAAAAAAAACAGTTTGTTTTTATATAGATATATAAATTCTATTCATACATAAATATATGTCCATCAATTGTTTTATTTGATTATCCAAATTCGCGACTATCCACTAACATTAATCATTGGGCGAATACTAGTGTATATAATATATACTCGTATATACATAGCTATTCCTGGTATTAAACGGATTTTTCGATATAAATATATTAAAGCAAACATATAAAATAATAAAAAAATTAAATAAAAAAAGGATTTTAAAATTAAAAGGTATCATGCACCGAACAACTTATACCTAAATTAAATACGAACCTCCTTATCTTCAAAGTCGGTTAAAATCTAAAGTACTAAGAATAATATAACCTGTTATTAAACAACACTTGCTTTAGCTTTTATCTGGATCTAAGACTTTAATTTGATCCTTGACTAATTAATTCTCGAAAGAAAACAAGAAACAGTCATTTCAGCTTCCATAGCTTTCATTACATTAAATAAGGTTTAAAACAAACATAATTTGAATGTACAGTCTGGTATAGTATTGTAATTATAATAATGGATACAATGTTACATAAGGAACTTTGCACGTGAAATTCGAATTAGATGTAACTAATTTACCGCTACTTCTGTCTCAGTTTTGACCGGACTATTATTATATATGCGATTTTTTTAATGAGTGTGTGTTCGTTTGTTACTCTGTCATGTTGAAACGGCTGAACGGATTTTGATGGACTTTAATACATATGTAGATACACTATAATCTGGTGTAAGTCTTAAGCTTCTGTTAGGTACCTAGAGATGCACTCGAGCGAAGGTGGGTAAGTCGCCAGTATTTTCTTGTACAGTGTTTGCCATGGAACATAGCTTCCAATTTTCCTGCAATAAATTGATTTCATTATTTTCCTTTAATTATTCTTTCTATAAATTAAATTACAACAACTATATTAAGTACTAGATACTTAAGTGCGCTTCGCTTGGATTCGCCTCTAGAAAAACAAAAGCAAATCTATCCCACAGGAATCGTACATTTTTCCATGATAAAAAGTAGAATATAATATGTTATTCTGATGTATGAGCTATGTTATTGTATAGTTTCATTAAAATCCATGCAGTAGTTTTTACGTGAAAGAGTAACAAACACCCATTATACATAGGTATACATCTAAACATCTTCACAATCTTTCGCATTTATAATATTAGTAGGATTTCTTCAGGATCCGATAAAAAATATATAAAAGGAATCAAAAATAATCACTTAATGTCGTACGTTTGTAACCACCCTTATTCTTCACTAATTGAATATTAGGCGCGTTTGTTTGTATACTTACTCTAATTATCTCGTTATCGTTATCTTACTAATCGGATTAGGAACTATGGTGATCTTTGATTAAAGGATGCTGGATATTAATAGTATATCTCTAAGAGATATCGAAGAAGATTCGTTTAATACTTGCTTATGATACACGAACGGTATAACGTAGATTATATTTTACATTACTGGATTTAAGATGAAATAAGTATTAAAAATTAATTTAATTTTTACAAAAATTTTGTTTGTTTGTATAAAGGACTGTCTATCTTAATAAAAATCAACATTATTCATGTTATAGGTTTCTTTTGATACTTATCTGTTTTACTAGCTACTACCATCGCTTCGCTTGCCTTTTGTTTTTATAATATTACATATGACTTGATCTTGCTTCGCTCGGATGTGTCCCTAGGTATTTTTAATATAGATAAAAATAGTTATAATAAGCGTACCTTAGGAGATAGACACATACTATTGCGGACTTTTCGGTATGCCTTTTTAACACCTACAATTTTCTAGTACATTGTTTAGATTTATCCCTAAGGGCTTAGCCAGCGTTAACCGTATAGTTGTACAAAAACTGTTTTTTGACAAAGCAAGATCTTTCAATTCAATTTTCTTGGCTTCAAAGCGTGCCAGTTGAGCACAGATTACTTTGCCAATGTCACGTGGAATGGAACAGACACGAAGAAGATTAATCGGTAAAATAAAATTATTAGACTATATTATATTATGTGTAAAAAGGGAGTAAATCCTTAATAAACGTAGGACCTACAACAAAACATTTGTTCTTTATGAATTAGGAAATAAAGTCATATCAGATCTACGTATGATTACTTTACCCTCTTACCCCTACGGGTAAAGGGGGGGGGGTATCTTACTTGTAAAGTAATGTATTCACAGAGTATTAAATAAATTAAACTAGAACATGTATTGCATGAAATCTCTAAACAAACAATAATAACGTGCAGTTTGTACTGTTTACATTATACTTCATTATTAGACTCGGCTTAACTTTAACTGGGTCAGTTAAAATCTGACGTCGAAGTTACGGGTGGTTAAAAATTGTTTATATATAACTTTTTTACAAAATAATACTTTCTTAGATTGACGCGAATATTTGATATTTTAAATACAAATATCTGTTTGTATTTTTCAAAAATAAAACATTTTTACAGCAATCATCGTCACGGGAGAGTCTCTCCACCATAATTGTTGTAAAGCATTTGAAACGTCGGGAACCAAAAAAATAAATCTGCGAATTTTAAAATATTTAATTTTACTGAAAATATTATACAAACGTTCGATATATTGAAAACTAATTAGAAAAACAATAACAAATCTAACCCACGGGAACCGTACGTTTTTCCAGGATAAGCCTATGTGTTATTCTGATGTATGAGCTATATTTTGTAAAGTTTCATTAAAATCCATTCGGTAGTTTTTGCGTGAAAGAGGAACAAACATCTATACATTTATTCATCCAGACATCCATACATCCTTACAAACCTTCGCATTTATAATATTAGTAGGATTTACGAAAAAGATTACATACATATAATCTATACATATAATAAAATTGTAACTAAGCCGAATCTGTACATAAAATATTTTTTGGAAAATCTTATTGAAATAGGAATTATTATCGATACAGAGGCCGAATCTATAGTTTTTAGAAATTTTGTCTGTCTGTCTGTCTGTTACCGCATCACGGAAAAACGACTGGAGGGATTTTGATGAAATTTGGTGTGATGGTAGCAAGTTATCCGGGTCAATATAGGATACTTTGTACCTCGGAAAATATCTCATTTCTGAGAAAAAATACAAAAACTGCAATGTAAGAGTGTACTAATATGTAAAACTAAAGAATTTGGTTTTTGGTCATCTGAACGCGGGCGGAGCTGCGGTCAATGCTAGTATGAAAGCAAAATTAGTATTCAGAATTTATATTTTCACAGAATTTGTGTACATTATTACACGTTAGAAACACAAAATCGGTCTATTAGTAGTACGAAAGAAAAGACAGAAAAATACCTTATTATATAAATGGTTCAATTTGAACCTTTCGCATATTAACGGAACCCTAACTTTTGTAAAAAATCAAGTCGATTAGGACTCACCAAAGTCAAGAAGACGATATTATATGAGAAAAATTCAATAAACTTGCAATCATAGCTAACAATATATCGCAAACGTTCGTATTATTATCGACTGGCGTAATCACATAACAGTCGTATCGTATAAATGTCTTTCGTTTGTTTTATTTTATCCTTAAATTGTATTCCATTTTCCGTATTCCAGTTTTGCGAGGACAAAAGATTGCCTCGTTTTACAAACGTGTAGTATTTTATTTTCAGTTCTTTGTAGAAATGCGGATGTTTTATATCGCTGTGTAAATTGACACCTTGCTTTAAATTAATTTGTTTATTTGTATGTAACTTAATGTATCCGACTGCGCCAAAAGGAGGGTTATGTTTTTCGAGTGTATGTATGTTTGTATATTTCTTTGGCACGCTCTGTAGCCTAAACGGCGTGATGGATTTTAGGCTAAAATTGGCGCCATATTGTCTTCAATTTTTTTTTCTCGTAGCTTTTATTCATCGCTTATAATAATATGTAAAAACCCTCTTGTCAGATCTTTCTAAATGTAGAAAGAAAATATATATATACATATATATATATATATATATATATATATATATATATATATATATATATATATATATATATCTAATTTGAAATAAAATATTTTTTCTAGATTCCTTCGCGGTTTTATTTTGACTTCCACGCGTTTCATTCGCTTTACAGTAGAGACAAAGGATTTTGGAGTCTCAAAGATACGAAACAATTTCTAAAGCATTCGAAACGTCGGAAAATCGCGAAAAACTGAACCGAACAAATAGTTTTATTTAAATATTTAAATATTCGCGTAAATCTAAGAACGTATTATGTACGAGTATCTAAATATCAATATCTTTGTCACCAGATCCACCATCGGCTCCCATGATAACAGGATACATTCCTGGAACGACGCTCTCTTCAGGAACAGTACAAAAGCTGTCATGTATATCCACTGGAGGCAACCCCTTAGCTACTTTGACCTGGTTTAAAAATGATAAAAAGGTAAGTATACTATTAATAATTATTTCTATTATATGTATGCTCCCTTTATTGCAAGGAGGATCAGGCTATAGTTGGCCAAGTATGGAATTTGCGGACTTCACATATCTTTCGAAAACTTGCTAGATTCTCTCAGATACGTCAGACCGTAAGACAATGGTGCGAGACCCGGGATTTGAACCCGATTTACATGGTTCCTAAGCAAACGCGTTACCACTGGGCTATCTCTGCCTCAATATGATTTAATAATTATTATATATTATTCATTGTACATTCAAAAGACGAGAACAAAATACAAAAAATAGGTCAATAGCACTGTAGGCAAAAAAATGGCCTTATCGCTAAAACAGCGATCTTTTTAGCAAAGCAGGAGTAAAGAGTAAATGGCAAGATGAATGTACATAGAGTTATTATTATTTCTAACTTAACTTTAAAATAAGGGGAGATACGAGATGTCTGACTCATATTTTTTATATAAATAGGTTATAAACCTCTTGGTTTTGCTAACATTTTCTACAAAAAATCAACCTTTAATTAAATAAAAAATCATATACGGTACTTATAAGAAAAATACAATTTTTAAAATTTTTGTCTGTCTGTCTGTACCGGCTAATCTCCGAACCGTCTGGACTGATTTTGATGCGACCTTCACTGGCAGATAGCTGATGTTATAAGGAGTAATTTAGGATATCTTTATTTTAGAAAAAGAATTACGGTTCTGCTCAAATTAAAACGTACATAGGGACGCAAGTAAGTCACTAGTGTATAAATAAACACAAAGTACTACACAAAAAGTATATAAAACGAAAACTAATTACATTATTTGTATTGAAAATATATAATATTAAAAGTATAATTATATGTTTGAGTGAAAATATAATAACATATGCAGTGCTATTGTTTTCTGAAATATAATAGGTCTTATTGAAACAATCGGAATCACCAATTAATTTAATTAATTAAATTTTTAATTAAGCATTCTCTGTTTTAAACAGATAAATGGACAGCAAAAAAATTGTATCTCTTAGAATATGAATTACTAGCGACTCACCCTCGCTTCGCTCTGGTTCCTCTCTAAGTTGATTCCCAATACAAACTTTCATCCCCATTTTCACCCCCTTAAGGGATGATTTATGGAATAAAAAATATCATATGTCCTTCCCAGGGTCTCAAACTACATATTTTCTTTCCAAATTTCATGTAAATCGTTCCTGTACTTTTTAAGTCCTTCCTGTTTATAATAATAGTGTAAATGTAGGGTATTTGTAAGCAAGTATAGCGATAGAAAAATTTGCTACCTAATAAAGATTCTAACTTTAGTCAAAATGTTTATGTATCTTTATAGTTTTTTTATCTGTTTATACCTAATTAAAATATTGGTCACATTTTAAAGGTATATCAGTTTTGTGCATATACATATATTCTTGCAAAGCTAATATTTGAAAAGCTTTTGCCTGCGACTTTGAAAGTTTATTTATGTATTTATGCTCTTGCTCTTCCAGTAAGAATATGACTTTTCTTAGTAAACAGGCTATAAAATACAAATAGAATTTTTCAACTTAAACTGATCATTCAAAAGATTAACATATACAAACAAACAAAGATTTTTTACCGTTATAATATTAGCGAAGAATATGTATGTAGATTTTGACGACACGTTTGGCTCAGTTTGTAGTAACTACTTGCTGTGCCAGCGGTCGTAGCTTACCATGGAACCAGATGGTGCTGTAAGCTACGGTCCCAACATATTTATTTAAAGATCACCATCTTCAAAATTAAAATTAAAAACTCTATATTAAATAGGCCGAAAGATAACAAATATGTCTTGCTCTTCCCATCGAAAGATACCATATTAAAAAATAAATTTACTATCATAAATCTATTTTCCAGATACATTCGATAACGAAAACTACGGACAAGTCAGTGTCAGCGGAGATATCCATCCTCACCAACGTGACAGATAACCAAGCTCAATACCGATGTGAGGCAACAAATAGTGCTACAGAAATCCCTCTGTTCGAAACCGTCACATTGAATGTACACTGTAAGTAAAAAATCTTATTTTGTAGGCGTTCTATTGATAAATAGGCTATTTCCTGCCCAATTTGCTATGATGGAATGCAAAATCGATTGTAAGACGTGTTTATTAATCACGTCGTGTGAAGCTTATTTTCTCTTGTTTTTCTGAGCCAAGTGATATTTGATCGACTTTCAAAAGAAAGAGGTATTGATACTTTCTTAGATTTACGCGAATATTTGACATTTAAATAAAACTAGCTTTTCGGATTGTTTTCGCGGATTTGTTTTGATTTTTGGTTCATGACGTTTCGAATGCTTTACAGCAATCACGGTCACGGGAAAGACTCTCGGAGAAAAGATAGTTTTATTTAGAAATAGGTACGTTTAAGTATGTTTTTTAATCTAATATCTCTCTTCAACTTCAATTAATAGATTTATTTAAAAAATAATTATTCATACTTTTGAAAGGGTTTTCAATTAATTTGCGTAGAGGTTATTTGTGGGTTAATAGCAGTTCATCGTTTTTGTATAATATTATTTCACGTGTAATTTACAAAATATATTTCGTTTATTAACATTTTCATTACAAAATCTTTTTTAAATACAGTCTCGACGTTATATAGTTTATTTAATGCCGTAAATCAATTAAATTAATACTTTATTAGATTTACGCGAATATTTGATTTAACACCTATTTTTTTCGGTTTTTTTTTCGCGGAAACGTCGGGAACAAAAAATCAAAATAAATCCGCGAAAAAATCCGAAAAGATAGATTTTTTTTAAATTACCATTAAATTATATATCTATGTAGATCTGTTATTTTATATCATTGTCGTAATACTTATAATATTTTTATTGCGGTTGGATACAGTTATTGGTGGGTTTTGTATTAAAGAACTAAGTAAATAAGGCTCGAGATAAATACACTATACTTATTAGTTATTAGATAAATATGGTTGCTATTAATAATGTAAAAGTTTGCGTGTGTGCGTGCGTATGTGTATGTTGTTACTCTTTTACCCTTTTTACGTAGGGTAAAAAGCTAGTTACCTTTTACCTACATAATTACACTACATAAATGAAATACAGTACTTCGCTTTATATGATAAATTGGGTTTTATAACAAATTTCAAAATATTTATCTTTACTAAACTATTTGCAAGTAGTTAGTTGAAATTCATATTGATTGCGCGTTTATTTGAAACTTCGGGAATTTAATTTAAAGCAAACGTCTTTGTAACATTAAATCGCTAGCTCGAACTTTAGACTTGAGACTAATTGTTTTATTTTTAATGGCAAAACTTTTACACAATTTTCTGTAGTTTCCTTTCGCATATCGTTCTTTATGTACATTCTAGTGATTTAACCTCGCCTTGCTCGAACTGTATACTAAATTTCATCCAAATCTATTCAGTTGTTTCAACATGAAAGAGTAACAAACATACAAACACATATTTTGCTTTTATATTAGTAGTCCAATTTTTTTACTTCTAAAAAGACTTTCTCAATTTTAGTATACACTATAATTGAGAAATTGAGAAGAGTTTGCATGTTTTTTGTGTGTCTCGATATTTTACGCGATATTTTCGCTTATTGCAAACCGATTTTGACAATTACTATATTTTCATGAATAGGCTAAGAATGAGAAAACGTTCTAAATTTATAGGTGTATTAATAACAAAAGGTTAAAGGGTAAAAAGGTTATATTTGAATTCCCTTTTTTATATTAATAAGTATGTATTACTGTAATTATGGATTTTTTACGCATAAACTTTCAAAAATACTATAAGGCAACTATGTTAATTTTGATACTAAATATACATTCATAGATTTACGCGAATATTTGACATTTAATCTGTAATACATTAAATAGTCTTCAAGGCGACTTACCATCAACGAGTGCGTTACCACTTACCATCAGATGGTACGTAGTCAAGCACTAATTCAGATTGAAATAAAAAAATATAGAATACCTTTGAGACGTCTAAAAACTTAAGAGTCTCCAGTGCCCATGATTGCTGTTAAGCATTCGAAACGTCGGGAACCTATAATCAAAATAAATCCGCGAAACAATCCGAAAGATAGTTTTATTTAAAATATTTTAATACTAAATAGTTTTATTTAAAATATTTTAATACTAAATTTGAATACCAATTTTTTTATAGTTGCCCCCGAAGCGGTGAAAGTTAGAGCTCAACCTGAGGAGCTTAAACCGGGAATAGAAGCTACACTATTCTGTGACGCCGCATCAAGCAACCCACCGGCCACTTTATCATGGTGGAGAGATGGGATTCCTGTCCAAGGTTAGTTATTTAGTTACTTACGAAAATGGTTAGTTTTTTGTAAATATAACCATATTTATATTATATTATAAAAACTGGCTAAGTACAAGTCCGATATCCGCTAGGAATTCAACCTTCTTGTTATTGGTTATTATGTAATACAAATACATTATGCAAAACCCTTGGTTTGCCAGTTTGTTTTCGAGTTGTTACTAATAATTTTTTGGCAGAAAAACTACACTTGAACATAGTTGGGGCTCGAACCCGCGACCTCTGGATCTGCAGTATATACAGGTCAGACCTACGAAGCAGAGTGTTAATTCAATTCTCTTATTAATTAATGGCTTTAAAACGTGCCAGTTAAGCACAGATTACTTTGCCAATGTCACGTAGAATGGAGAACATGTTAAAAACACGATAAAACTATATTATTAAACTATATCTAATTATAATGTGTTAAAATCAGAGTTTATAAAACTTTATAAAGCTTGGACCTACAACAAAAGACAGCACAAGACATAGTGTTATGTTAATTTTAATACATTATTGTAAAAAATTGATATTATTATAACAAAACAATTAATTAATATTAAACTTTAGGTCTGCCAATGCAACTCAAGAAGGGTCTACATGGAGGCACAGTGTCTACGATAGAACTAAAATTGAATATAACTAAAGAACTCAACGGAGCTGTGTACACCTGCCAGGCGATGAACGAGGCGTTGCAGAGGAGTGTGCATGACGCTTTGACACTTAAAGTTTTATGTAAGTACTAGATTTTGTCGTAACTCGCCTGTTTACCTAAAACTGTTTAGAACCTAAAAAACGTACATCCATACAAATATTATTAATGTGAAAGTTTGTGAGCATAGATGGATGTTTGTTCCTCAATCACACCACGAACCACGCCATGAACCACGTCGACGGCTGAACGGATCTACGGATCTGGATGAAATTTAGCACAGAGATAGATTATAGTCTGGAATAGCACATAGTTTTAATCCCAAAAAAATGTGCGGTTCCCGTGAGATAGATTTGTTTTTGTTTTTCGCTAGTCATACATACCTATATTATATTATTTATTATTATATTTGATGACACGTTTTTCTCAGTTTGTAGTGACCCTACTTGCCGTGCCAGCGGTCGCGGGTTCGAGTCCCGCTGGAGTCATTCATGTGTGTGATGAGCACGAATGTGTGTACTCCAGTCATGGTTGTTTACATTTATAATATGTGTGTATTTAATGTTATATGTGTAGTGTATCAACTATCTGGTATCCCTAACACGAGCCTCGTAGCTTAGCATGGAACTAGATGGTGCTGTGTGTTAATGTCCCAACATATTATTACATATATATTATGACTACAAGACTTTGATAACTCTTTCCTATACATTTTTTTTTCTTCATTAAAAATAACAATTGTAGATTTTATCCTCTGTATAGACAATACAAATATTCGGGCGTGTGTGCGCATAGAATTTATTAAATCCTACTCTATATGCGTGTACTGCATCAAATAGGACTAAATCTATTAACAAAAAATGTGCATGAAAACTTGAAATATTTTGTATGGTATACTGTATGGTAAACTTTTAATACCCTTCTCCATGTAGGTATATTGTACTAAAAATAGGGATTCTACCAAATAACTATGATAGGTGAATGTTTTGTATACAGCGCTACCGTTAAAATGTGTTTAACGGTTAGTGCAGATTTCTCAGAAATGAGATATTTTCTCGCAGTAAAAAGTACCCTATATGTTGTGACTTGAATAATAAGCTAGTGTCATACCAAATTTCATCAAAATCTGTCCAATGGTTTTCTCGTGATGCGTTCCCAGAAAGATAGGCAGACAAAAATTCTAAAAACTATAGATTCGGCCTCTGTTTCGATAATTATGGCTATTTCAATAAGATTTTCAAAAAATATTTAATGTACAGATTCGACTTAGTTAGAATTTTATTATATGCGTAGAATAGTAAAATCTCATTTAAGAAACACGTAGATGTGTGTTCGAAGTGTTTTGTAGAACTACATAGGTATATAACATATTTTATACTAACATATATTAGGGTTCACAGGAAAAATCCAAAGTAATATTATAAATGCGTAAGTAACTCTGTCTGTTGGTTTGTTTGTTACGTTTTTACGCTTAAAGCGTTTAACTAATTTTAATGAATTTTGGTATCCTATAAATAAATTGGATATTGGAAAAAGACATAAATATCTTTTTGTCTCAAAAATAAGACTTAAAAGGGTAGAAATAGGGGATGAAAGTTTGTATGGGAAACCCATTAATTCTAAAGTTCAAACGTCGGAGGGCTCGAAAGAGATAAAGGTTTGCTTCTATTTACTTAGGGATGAACTCAAGCGAAGCGAGGGTGCTTTCCTAGTCTTATTATATATCATAGCAGCTATTACAGAAACATTCATACATACATACATACATACATACATACATTCATACATAAATATATAGGTATAGCGTAAAATTGTGGCTAGCAACTGTATATAAAATGGTTATATTGAAAAATTCTACACCCCGCTCAACTGTACGTGTATATGACGTGCCTTCAATATATTTTCTGGATATTTTGTGACTTGACACTTTCACTTATCCTTAGTTATAGTTTGATCTTGATATTTTCTGGCGTTGGTCTGCTCTCTGAGATTTTACTTAAGCTCTCTAAAAAAGGTGCTTGATTATTTCTTTACATCAAAAAGAAACTACATACATATTTCTAAAAAAGTCTATTGTTACTGGTTCTAGGTAAAAATTGGCTTTGGCCTAAAGCTTATGCTATAATATATTCTTATTAATAATGGAAATTCAGTGGAAGCCCAGTGGTAACGCGCTTGCATAGGAAGCCAAGTCGAGCAGGTTCATATCCCGTGTTTCGTACTTCTGATATCTTCATGCGCGAATCATTTCCAACATGATTACCACTTGTTTTATGGTAATGAAAAACTTCGTGTGGAAACCTGTATTTCTTAGAGAACCTAACAAGTTTTCGAAAGACATGTGTAGTCCGCCAACTCGCACATGGCCAGCGTGGTGGACTATAGCCTGATCCTCCTCGTATAAAATACAATAAGAGTGCAAGGACAGATAAAAAAATATTTTATTCACACTCAGAATATTAATCCTTTATTTAAATAAGGTTTTTTGTCAAACAGGCATTTTTAGTGAAACTATCTTTACCGTTTAAGTTAAAAGATATTATTATAAAATAAATAACACATTTGGGACAAAATAACTCGGTACATTAACACAGTACCATCTAGTTCCGTGGTAAGCTACGAGGCTTGTGTAATGGGTACCAAATTTTTAGATTGTGTTATTATTATATATTATATACACATATATAACATGAAATACATACATATTATAAATATGAACAACCAGCGGGACTTAAACCCGCGACCGCTGGCACATCAAGTAAGGTCAAACTGACCCAAACGTGTCAAACTGTACCAAACGCGTCGCGATTATTACAAGAGTTATATTATAAATATATATAGTTATATTTTATACTTAACATATGTAAATATGAATACTAAAAACTAATTCCACTCATTTATATGTGAAAATTATTCATCAATACGCAAATTACATGCGTTTCTAGATACTCGATAGGCCGTTTTTAATTTTCACCTTGTAAAAGAAGATTTATAAGTTTAATATTCGTAATAAAGTATAAAAAATATTATCTTTATAATTATAATACGACATATATTAAATATTAATCGTTTAATTATATCTTAAAACTAGCTTGACAGACTTTGTCATGTCAACACTTCGATAATTTTTGATATTTGAGTTGATACAAAAATCCTTATAAATTACTCGTACATATATTTTTCTAGAGTTTCTTTATTTTCTGGCAATATTTTTAAATGGTTTCCTCATTAAAACCTGTTTCAAACTATTGCGAATATTAACAAAATTTATCCAAATCGATCCAGTCAATCTCAATTGATGCGCTAAACAACAAACAGTATTTCATATATTTATATACATATATATTCATCCTGTATATTTAAATACGAAAGCGAAAAAATTTACTCGGAGACTAAACGTAAAATCTTTAAAACTACTTGATCTATGAAGTCGACATTTTACAGGTAGTTTATACTCGTAGGTAGGATACGTCAAATAAGAACAGATTTTGCGTTAGAGCCTAAGGTAGCTTACATCCTATTATAAGTTTTGACGTGAAACGTCTAATCACACCGAAACACACGGGTCAGAAACGTGGACCGTAACGAAGTAGGCTGTTGTTGTGGTCTGAAAAATCTATACATATAATAACATTCGAACTGAGTCGAATCTGTAAATATTTTTTGGAAAATCTTATTGAAATAGTCATCATTATCGATACAGAGGTCAAATCTGTAGTTTTTATTTTTTTTTGTGTCTGTCTGTCGGTCTGTCACACGTCACGAGAAAACCACTCGACAGGTTTTGATGTTTGACATGATGATAGCTGGTTATCCTATCCATCTTTAAGAAACCTACACTACCGGTTAATATGTACCTAGCACGTATCCGAGCGGAGTGAGGGTGATTCGATAGTGATATATATGATATTCTTTCCGTTGCCATCTTTAAAGCTAACAACCTACTATTTTTACTAATTTGTTTTTAAATATGCAAAATATTTATAACGACTACTATACTTTATCTTTAACACTAAAAATGACTCGCTGAAATTGACGCTTCACGTTTAACAAACAGCGGTGTGCTCCGACAGTCGACACAGCCCCACCCGATTTTTTGTAGCATTCTTATATTTTTACTGTTAGAGACATAAAGATGAGTAATTTTGATATAAAACTTAATTTTAATTAAAAACAATAAGAAAGTAAACAATGGTATGGATAATGAAAAAAACCAACCAAGCACTATTTTAGTGGGCTTGTTTGGCTTTTGTGAGACCTTGATTCATATTAAAAGTGTAATTAAGATTAAAGCTAAAGAAAGGTGTCCATTTTCCAGAACAATAACTAAAAGTTCTTTACAACTTAATCTTCTTTTATACACTTTGTAGGTTGTTTTTTGCGATTTCTTAGTTTTACACAAGTTTTTCCTTTCTAAGATATCTTACACTTTTTATAAGACAAATGAGTTGTTCACTTTGATGTTTTTTTAAGGTATACTTATTTCTTTTGATGTCTGACTTTGATTTGAATTATAATTTGTTGGACTAATCTTGCTAAGTGCGCAAACTTACAATGTAAGTGTGTGGACGTTTGTGCGATAATATTTATGTATAGGCATTGCCCGCGGCTCCGCCCGCGTTCAGATGACCAGAAACCAAATTCTTAGGTTTTACATAATAGTATACTCTTACATTGCAGTATTTGTATTTTTTCTCAGAAATGAGACATTTTCCCGTAGTAAAAAGTATCTTTTATGTTGACCCGGATAACTAGCTATCACCATACCAAATTTCATCAAAATCCCTCCAGTGGTTTTTCTGTAATGCGGTAACAGACAGACAGACAGACAGACAAAAAATATAAAGATTCTAAAAACTATAGATTCGGTCTCTGTATCGATAATAAATAATGTTTATTTCAATAATATTTTCCAAAAAATATTTAATGTACAGATTCGGCTTAGTTACAATTTTATTATACGTATAGATAATACTAACATTATAGCAAGCCCTGTATTCATCTGAAATCTTACTAATATAATAAATGTGAAAATTTAGATGGATGTTTGGATGTTTGTTACCCATTCACGCCTGAACGACCGAACGGATCTGGATGAAATTTGGCACAGAGATAGATTATAGTCTGGAATATTTATCTTTTCTGCAATATTATCATCGGCTTTTTATCTCGGAAAATGTACGGTTCCCGTGGGATAGATTAGTTTTCGTTTTTCTCGTTATATATATATATATGTACAAGAATTGTAGTGTATTAACTATCTGGTATCCATAACACAAGCATCGTAACTTACCACGGACCTAGATGGCGCTGTGTGGTAATGTCCCATCATATTTATTCATTTATTCGTCTAACATCACATATAACTCACCCTTAAGAAAGGAGCAACGATACGTATAAATAAACTAATATATTAATATTGCTTTAGTTTACTCTACCGTTTATTTAAATTAAATTTTGATATTCAGATATTATTACAAACTTAGTATTTCTGTACGCACAGGCTCGTTTCAAAAGTTTTTTATAAAGTTATATTTTTCTATAGTTTTTGTTTGGAATTTGTTAGCCACTTGTTATAATAGCTTTACCTGTAAAGTTTTTTCAAACTTGATTACCTTTCTCTAAGTTTTTTGTAATTTTGTATAACTTGGTAGCGTAAATTGGATATGAATTAATTTAATACTATATTGTTTGTTTGTATATACATATACCTATCCACATTTTTGCTTGTGTGGACTTAAAAACTCAACGGTAACGATTGGTATTGTTTCTATTAGTGAAATATTTTATTAATCGATACAAAGATTTCGTTTATATAGAAACAAACAGATTTTATATCTATACTAGAGACTTAACCTCGTTTCGTTCGTTTACGTTCGTACTCCTTAGTATTTATTAAAGCCATTCGTATATGATATTTAAAATATTAAATACATATATTTGTAGTACACCACCTTCTGGCAAATTATATTATATACAGCCTATATGTTAATCAGCTCTTAGCCTATCTGTGTACTTAACTTCATCCATATTCGTTCAGCCGTTTTAGCTTGAAGGAACAATCACACGTACAAACTTTCGCATTTATTAGTAGTATGATACTCGTGTCATCGAAAATTACAGTGTATATTCATATATTTTTATAATGAAAACATTTTAAAAGAGTATTAAAATTTTGATTGATTAATTTACTTCCTTAAATCTGTCCAAGAATTTCGCAATTCACAAAATGAATAGAAGAACATCCAACTTTTGTACTACAAAAGTCAATTTTTTTAAGAACATTTTATATTTTAACAAGTGAATAAATAAGTGCAGCGAAAAAATATCCTCTTTACAGCTTGTTTGTCGTTGAGGTTACTCAGCTTACAGAGGTTGTTTGAACAGTTTCTTAAGGCTTTGCTTTAACAGTTAGCCTTTCACGTCTTTAGACATTGAATATGATCAACACTGATGGCTTATTTCTTACCTGTTTGTTTTATGATGAAAATTTACTTGCTAAGTGAAAATGGCGTTATAGCTAAGTGGCATTATTAATTATAGTGATTATTAGTAAATTATTATTATTATTATTATAAGTTATTATTATTATTATTATACAAAGGATTTAAATAATTTTTAACTAAGTTTACTACTACTACTAAATAACTTAGATAATTCTAAACTATAAGGCATAATTACTACATTCTGATCCCATCTCCTTTAAGAAATGACATTATATTATTTAATAATAAATAAAAACCACAGAATCGAACTTACGACCCTACTTATAAAATTCTTGCTAATAAAATTTATACTTTAAAAAGCCAAAAGACACTGACAATTAAATCATAAAAAAAAGCTTTACAACGTGAATGAAGCTTTTTATAGAATTGTGAATCAAATGCTGTAAGCGCTTTACAAACTAATCCTCTTTCATTCCGTAGGCGTTGCTTGTATTTTATTAAGTTAAGAAATACTTTAAACGTCACAAGTTTTGATATTAAGCATTTTTTTAATGAAAATAAAATATCGATGTAGTCCGAAAATATTGAATACTAGCGACTTCCCCTCACGTTTCTCGGATGCGTCCTTGAGGTCCAAACACCATGTGTTACCCCATGGTTATAGTTTATTTGTGTACTAAATTTCATCAAACCATGATCTTCATAATCCAGTCGTTTCAGGTCAAATCTGTTAAACCGTTATATACTAGTATAAATACTCACAAATATTAGCATTTTTAATATTGGTCTAATTTCTAGATGCACCGATTTTCGACGAAACAACCCCGTACAACACAGTGGGGGTGGAAAACGAGCCCTTAGTCATAATGCTGCGAGCTGAAGGAAACCCTGGAAGCATAACGTACACGTGGACAAAGGACGGCCTTCCCATCACACAGTCGTCATATAGCACTATCAGTAAGTATATAAAATTAAATAGCAAATTCATTAATTATGTAATGACCATAAAACAGTTTCATAGTTCGCACTTTTACTTTACTTTAAGACAAAGTTTTACTTCTAGCCAAAGAAATGTTACTTTAGAAAACAGTACATTGTTTAGTAAAGAAAGAGCAGTAATTATTGGTTTCTTTGGAATCCAACTAAACTTTAAATAGATTAGATGAGTTGGCATTCTACAATCGATATACATATTCGTACATATAGGGTAAGTCCGCGAGAGACGCCTGTAAGGGAGATACGCCTACTAAATTTAAAAATTAAATTAATTAAGTTTGCGTGATTCGGAACGCGTCCATAATTAGTCAGTTGACAGTTAAGTGTGGAAGTTTTTACACAAAGACCTATTACTTATCTATACTAATATTATAAAGAGGTAAAGTTTGTTAGATTGTGAGTTTGTGACGTTGTAGGGGTAATCTCTGGATCTACTAGACCGATTTAGATGAAATTTAATAAAAAGATAGTTTGAGACCCTGAGAAGGACATAGAATACCTTTTATCCCGGAAAACATCCCTTAAAGGGGTGAAAATGAGGATGAAAGTTTGTATTGGGAATCAAGCTAGGGATGAACCCGAGCGAGGCGAGGGTGAGTCGCTAGTAATTAAAATGTTAGTGTTAATTTGTAAAATAAGGTAAGTGTAGTTAATATATACGTTAGAATATAATCTTTGAGATAGTCTGGAGAGACTTTTTTTCGTAAATTCTTCAGTTAAATAGTATTAAATTACTAGTATGTAAATAACTTAAAAATAAATTAGGATAACATATTCTGAGCTAGTAAAGTAACGTTTAGATATATTATTTTTAAATACTTTGGTTAATTATTATTAGTTATATTTACGCGAATATTTAAAATTCGCATTTCGCGAAAGTTTTTTGAGACGTCAAGAAAATTGATCTCTTCCGTGACCAAATTTGCAGTTTGAAATATCGAGAACAAATGTAAATAAAATCAAAATAAAACTTGTTTTATTAAAAATATTTTATGTAGTTTTCTATTAGCGATGGCGAATGTAGATTTTTTTCATATCTAAGCTTGCTGGTTTCATTTACTATATTTATAGTATGGTCACAGCCATACAATGGTCGTAGTGAGCACGATATATAACATATTATATTAGGTTGATTCCCTAATGGATGGTTTCCGGAATAAAAACTATCTTATGTCCTTCCCAGGGTCTCAAACTATCTTCTTACCGAATTTCATCTTAATTGGTTTAGTAGATCCAGAGATTACCCCCTACAACGTCACAAACTCACAATTCACAAACTCACAAACTTTACCTCTTTATAATATTAGTATAGATAACATTGTCATTTGCAGTTTAACACAATTTACTTATTCTCTGAAAGTACGTGTAAATAAACACTAACATTTATTCGATTACAAATTGATTACTTCAATAAATTTCATCACATTGATGGAAATATATCGAAAAGGACAACCCTCAAATTGAATTTTAAATATTTTATTACACGAGGGAAAATAAATCTAGATCAAGTGTAAAACAAAATTGTAGATCAGTGAACTAAAAATGCCAGACTTAACTGAAAGCTCGACTTTTGAAAGGAATTTCTTTCTTAATTTACTTAACTAAAACGATTTTTTTGAAGGTAGATATTAATCCTATAAATATTATAAATGCGAAACTTTGCATGGATGGATGTTTGTTACTGAATCACACCAGAACGGCTGATCGGATGTGGATGAAATTTAGCACAGTTTATAGTCTGGAATAGCACATAGGTTACTTTTTATCCCGGAAAAATATACGGTTCTCGTGGGATATTCATACTAACGGTTAAAACGTACATAGACGAACCCGAGCGAAGCGAGGGTGAGTCGCTAGTTATCATAATAAATAGCTTACGTTAATATAAACTTTCTTGTAAGTTTCACTAGAAACTTATCCTCTTGTGGTTCTGTATTTATAATATTATATACAGACAGCGCCACCTTTTGGCAAATTTTATAACTGATACCAGCAATGCCCGCGGCTCCGCCCGCGTTCAGATGACCAAAAAGCAAATTCTTAGGTTTTAGGTACATATTAGTATACTCTTACAATGCAGTTTTTGTATTTTTTCTGAGAAATGAGATATTTTCTCGCAGTAAAAATCCTATATGTTGACCCGGATAACCAGCTATCTCCATACCAAATTTCATCAAAATCCCTCCAGTGGTTTTTCTATGATACAGTAATAGACATACAGACAGACAAACAGATAGACAAAAATTCTAAAAACTATAGATTCGGCTTCTGTATCGATAATAATGTTTATTTCAATAAGATTTTCCAAAAAATATTTAATGTACAGATTCGGCTTAGTTACAATTTTATTATATGTATAGATATAAAGACAGCGCTACCTTTTGGCAAATTTTATAACTGATATTAGCCTATGTGTCACTCCAGGTCATCCAAAAATCTTACGTTTTTTGTATCATGAACTAAAAAAATCAAATACAGCGAACTCGAGCGAAGCCAGCATATGCCGCAAGAAACTAGTATAGGTTATTTATATAAAGTTGCAATTTAAACCCTTTAATCGAAACAAACAAAACAATTTAGTCAAATAAATAATGAAGTTAAAACGTCCCTTTTGTGAGCTCAAATATTAAATCCTTATATACGTTCAAAGTGCTTTCATTAAAATTACCCCTCGAGCTTTTCAACCTACATATTATAAAACTTTTTGAAATTTCACTTCAAAATTTTTAAATATCATCTTTTTACGAATATAATAATTAAGCTTAAACTAAATTTTGCTGTAAAAGGCGCATAAATAGGGTAATAGGACTTTACAATTTAGTTTTTATAGGTACGTGGTTCTATTCTCGCTCGTGTTTTATGCTCTGGAGGCCCCAATTTAAAGTTTATATTATATTCCTCACAATATATTTTATATTCGTTTAAATTTAAGAAAATTGTAGCTATAGAAACATCAAAAATTATATGTTCGGTAACCAATCACCTTCCGGGAATCGAACACACGGTTTCTAAAGGAATTTGCATTCTACGTGACATCAGTTAAGTACTAGTAGTTAAGTAACATGTCATATTAGCTCAGAGATTATAATATTACAGCTAATTAAGTGACTAAATATGAAACTTTGGTAATATATCATCATTTACCAACCGTGATACGGTTATTCCTGATTATAATTTATGTAATAAAAATAAATAAATATGTTGGGACATTAATACACAGCACCATCTAGTTCCATGGTAAGCTACGGGGCCTGTGTTATAAATACCAGATAGTTGATACACTACACATATATAACTTTAAATACATATTATAATTATAAACACTCATAACTGGAATACAAATATTCATGCTCATCACACGAATGCCTCCAGCGGAACTCGAACTCGCGTCCGCTGGCACAGCAAGTACAAACTGAGCCAAACGTGTCGTCAAATTAATATGATCAGCCAGTTTAATATGCAATATCACTTTAGTGCTTATTTTTCCAAACTACCAATACTTCTTGTATTCTTGTAGAGAGCTTTTTTCCTATATTTTAAAAACAAAGCTTCATTTCTAAGATCTATATAAAGACAAAGTACATATTTTTGGCTTTTTTTAAATAAAATGTGTATTTATTGTAACTCTTTCCGTAAATTGGTCGTTTGGATAAGTCTATTTAATTATTTCTTAATACAAAAAAATTATAATACAACTATATAGATGTAAAAGTTTGTAAAAGCTAAATGTTTTTTTCTTATTAAAATATGCTTAAATTATTAATATATAATATATTATAATAATAAAATTAAGTGTTCTTAAATAGGTATATATGTAAATAGAAATGTCTACGATAATTTCATATTTCTAGTAAAATATTAAGCTGGTTTCGTACTAAACGAGAATATTTGAATCATTGGACCAAAAAATCAATATCACATATTATTTTTGGTTCGGATTGTATTGAATGTAGGGAAAGCTAATATAAAATGTAGAGATCCATGAGTAACTTGATTTCGAATAAATATTAGTTGAAAAGTAATACAGATTTCGTTTTCTATTTCATACTAGCGACTTACGCTTCGCTCGTGGCGTTCGTAGGTACAGTTTAATGTTTTTGACCGTGACCCTAACTCTTTTTCAAAAATAAAAGTATCCTAAGGTACTCCTTATAACATCAGCTATCTGCCAGTGAGAGTCCCGTCAAAATCAGTCTAGCCGTTTCGGAGATTAGCCGGAACAAACAGACAGACGTACAGATAAAAATGATAAAAAATGCGTTTTTCTTATAAGTACCGTATATAATAACATATGCATTTAGTGAAAAGCTGTTATTTTGATATTTCAAACAGACACTTCAATTTTATTTATCTGTATAGATATTCCATTTCGTTTTTTTTTTAATTAGTATATTTCTTCTTTTTAGCGCCCTAAGAAAAAATATGCATTGCTTGAATAAGTAAATTAGGATAATTTACTCCTACAAATTTTTTTTTATTATTTTACATATAAATCTCGTTTTAGTGGACTATTTAGACATGTTTGTCTCGTAAATTTAATTTTCATCTTGAATAATTTAAACTGTTTGAGTTAAGTTTAGAGTTTGACGTTCACTGTAATTAATATTAGATAAGTAAATATTTATGAATGAAATATGTTGTTTTACTTGCATTCGATGTTCAATAAACATAGCTTTGCCCGAGACTTCACTTGTATTTTACGTTACCAAAAAACCTTAATTAACATTAAAGCTTCTTAAACTTTTAACTACATGTAAATGGTTAATTAAATATAAGTAAAGTGAAAAACAGTTTCCTCAAACTCCTATTCATTGAAGATTGCCAACTTCTTTTCGAAGACTCGGTGTTTCTTATAGGAGTTTCTATGATTTTACTTTATGGTGTATTAATTTTATTCATTCTGTAGAATTGCTAAGTAAGTAAAAATCTTAACTCCTTGTAAACTTTTTGATATTTTATATATTTATTAAAAAAATAATGAAAATTCAAAATCTGCGAAAATATCGTATGACAAATAAAAACCGCAGCAAAATCAAATACCTAATTCTAAAGGTCGGTTAATAAACAAAAAAGATGGCTTGTAACGATATATTTTTGTTTCAGATGACAGAATTATATCAGAAGGCAGTATGTTGAACATGACACGCCTGTCGCGCCACGATGCTGGTATCTACACTTGTGAAGCTGTTAACTCTCAAGGCGCAATGGCAGTTAACATCTCAGTTAACGTACATTGTAAGTTTATCTTTTATTATATATTATACACTAACTAGTTGGTATGAAAGTGTTTTTTTTTTTATTATTTATAATATTTTTTACATCATCCCCTATTTTTTACCCCCATAGGATGTGTTGCCTAAAATTTTAGTCTTCATTTTTAATCAGAAACATTATTTCCAATTTTGGTCACTCTAACTTTAAAAATAAGGGATTTTCATACAAACTTCCAACCCCTTTTTTACCACTTTAGGGGTTGAATTTTTAAAAATGCCTTTTTTTCTCCCTATTAGAAATCTTGTTGCTAAGTTTCAAGAGTCAAGCATTTATAGTTTCCGGGATTTCGTGGTTAATTATAATTGACTGTTATTTCAATATATAAATAGGTACTTGCATAATTTTACATGTTATTTCTTCACACTAACGACTGACGGGCGTTTTTGAATAGAATAAGAAATTTGAAATTTATTAACTAGTTAGATTACACTTTAATATAATTAATTAGACATGCAAGTTTTCTTCCCAAAATTTTGGGAGATTCAAAATTACGGGGCTTGTACCCATTTCCATTAGTTTTTCACATTATGACGTTACCATTGGGTTACCACTGCCATCGTTAAAACGAAGAGATTTTTATCAAAAGTCAATAAAGTATGCTCTAAGACGTAAGTGAACTCGCAGCATGTCTTTAATAATGGAGACGTAGTTGAGTACTTTTCAGTGTTCCATCGTAGTTTATTTCATTTGATGGAAATATAAAATACACGTCCGTTCTATGCATTTTCTATTTTTTATATAAATATTCTTTATTAAATTAAAAACCATATTCACTATAAATGCGAAACTAACTCTGTCTGTCTGCTACCTTTTCACGCTTAATCCGCTGAACTGATTTAGATGAAATTTAGTATGGATATAGTTTGAGAGCCTTTTTTTTTTTTAACGTTGGGAAATGCATTTACGCACGACGTGTGGGACTCACCGGCGTAATACAGCCAGTACTACCCACTAAAACCCAACAAACCTTCCCCCGTCTTAATGGGGCGTCGCAGGATCGCTTACGCATTCAACTACGACGCCCCGACGGCAGGTCTGCCAAAGCAGACCACCACAACCATGGGGTTGCTCCAAGGTCCACTCTGCTATCAGAGAAGTACCAGGAGCAACCCGCAAGATACACCGCCCCCCGAAGAGGGCCACCTCCCACCGCCCACCGAAGTGGGCAACCTCCCTGTGCGTTTCTTAGCTTCGCTAATACTACTGAGCCCCCCCACCACGACAAGGTGAACGCACGTTGGGGGGGATAGTTTGAGAGCCTGGGAAAGACATTGGTTAATTTTAACCCGGAAATCATCCCTTAAGGGGTGAAAAGGGAGTTGGAAATTTGTATGGGGAATCAATCATTTCTTAAGTAAGGGATAATAAAACTCATCATACCTGTTATACACAGGTACAGTCTATGTATTCCATACTAAGCGTCAAAACGTACCTAGGGACAAACCCGAGCGAAGCGAGGGTGAGTCGCTAGTTTATAATATAGCATTTTTCCACCACGTGACCAAAGCTAGGATATATCAGTGAGTAATAAAAATATATTTTATATTCAATTAAAAACCGATAATTTGTTCAAGATCCTGCGAGTATTAAATATGTGGGACAAAGCGAGATTGCAGATCCTAATGAAGATGCTGTGTTAGCATGTACTGCGAGTGGTAAGTTATAACTTACAAGTACAATTACTCATTTATTTCACTATAAAAATTATAAATATAAAAGTTTATGAAGATGTATGGATGTTTGTTGTTTAATCACATGTAAATGACTAAATGTATTTAGATGAAACTATTCACATCGATAGATCATATTCTGCACTAATATATAAAAAATATGGGCATTTTTCCCCTGGCTTGAGTTTATTTTCTTCTTTTTAGAGCATTGAAATAAAAGTTGATTTTAGAAACATTTTTTTACAATTATTTTATTGTAGAAGAGAAATTATTAAATAAAACGTCACTCTAGCTGCGAATTTAAGCTTTATATTCTAACCACGTTTCTTATTAGAATCAAAACAAGAAACGTATGAAAGCTACTTTAGTTGTGACAGTATTATATTATATTTTAACAGAATTTGCTTTTGTGTATTATTTAGAAACACGAGAAACTTAACGTGAATTAGGAATATAAATATGTTCTGTATCAGAGATACTGTGTTCGATTCTTCTTTGAACTTTTGTTTTAATGCTTTAACTAACTTGAAAAAAAGTAGTCAATTCGCATATTAGTTATTATTGTTTGAAAGTTTTATGATATCTTCGCCAAGAGTGAATAGATTTTCATTATATTTTTTTTAATTGATAGGTATAATTTTATAAATAAGAAAAGTCCCAAATAAGCTTTAAGAAATGGCATCAATTTCTTATAATAAAATAGTTTTGTAAGTCGTACACCGACTTCAAAGACAATATTTTCACCATACATTATTACTAACTCTTCATTCTACTCTAACGAAAACTAAAAAGTGTAGCCCTTTTTAATTAACAGAATTGAACTCTTGCCAAGAACCTATAACTGGCCGAAGACATAGGCAATTTAGATCTTTTAGTCTTTAAATTAAAAAAAAACTCAAAAGTGTCTGTAGAACTGCCTTACAAAATATAACAAACTTTTGTTTTTACTTAGACAATAATCTCAGGAACTACTAAAGAGCTAGATTAATATCTTAATGACAAACGTATTTCGATCGATATATAATACAAGCAGATCCAAATGTAAAAACTAGTATTGTATAGTAAAAATAATTATTTTTGTCCACCAGGTAACCCTCTCACAGCAGATCACATCAGATGGGAAAGAAAAGGTTTTGACATGGCTTCAAGGACTATAACATTTGATCCCAAAAATCATACCAGCTATCTAACTATAGAAAAAGCTACTCGAGAAGATGTGGGTTTATTTAAATGTATTGCCAATAATGGTATTGGATCAGAAAGCAAAGAAGATGTTATGTTGGTAGTAAAATTTAAACCGGAAATGGATACGTCACCAACATTAGCCAAATCTGCATCGAATGCTGGTCAAGTTGGCAGACTGACATGCAAGTGAGTTACAAGTGTTTTTTTTAATCTACTTCACACTTTCATAGATTTATCCAAATATTTGATATTTTAAAAAAAAGGTATCTTTTGGGATTATTTCACATTTTTTTTTCAAGTTTTAATTAAAACACTCGACTTCACTTAGCATATTATTTGTTAATATTGTATTAATACTCTACATGAAACACTGCATTTCGACTCTGTGGTAGCTTAACAAATTATATATCCATCATCAAAATATTAATTGTATTACATTCGATACCACTGCATAATTTGCGTGTACCTGTACATATATATTAAATAAATAAATATGTTGGGACATTGATACACAGTATTTTCTAGTTTCATAGTAAGCTACGAGGCTTGTGTTATGGATATAAGATAGTTGATACACTACACAATTATATAACTTTAAATACATACATATTATAAACACCCATGACTGGAGTACAAACATTCGTGCTCATCACACAAATAAATGCCACACGCGGGACTCGAACCCGCCACCGTTGGCACAACATAAACTGAGTCTAACGTGTCGTCTATTAAGTTCTTCTGTCTCTTTGTTTCCCATGAAAACGTACCCACTAAAAACAAAATATATTGATATTTGACATACAGGAATTCAAGATTCAGTTCAATGCTTTTTGGATAAAAAAATCAAGTCGCTAACGTTTAAAAAAGTACTTTTTATGGTGTGCGTAAGTTCGAATTTGTGTTTAGACAATTAGAAATTTCGATTTTTGTATTTTATTCTATGCTGTGACTTAACATAACATGTCGACGCCACATTTTGAAGAGATATTTGTTAGGAAATGTGTATTGTGTATCTGTTTTTATATATCACTGACTAACATAACCTCATTTAATCTTTCAATGAAACATAAACGTCCAATAAAAGCATATTTGGTAGAGATTTAGAGGAAATTATCAAATTTTAGTCAGAACTGTTAATTAGGGCTAATCTGATCGTAAATAACAAGATAAGCAATGTATGATTTGCTGATACTATTTTGATTGGGTAATAGCAAATTAGCATTGGATTATTTGGAATTGTACCAAATGTTTATTAATAGGTTTGATAACATCATTTTGTGGGTAGGAGCTGTTTATAAAAGTATATATTGACCTTTGAGACGTCTAAAATCTTAGTCCCTCCGTGACCATGATTGCTGTAAAGCATTCGACGCCGGGAACCAAAAATCTCAAAAATTCGCGAATAAAAATCCGAAAAGACAGTTTTATTTTACATGTTAAATATTCGCGTAAGTCTAAGAAAGTATTATAACACAATTTGCTTCAAGATAATGGGTTCGATCCGAGTTAAAACCGAATTTTTGTATGAATCATAAAACAACTAATGTTTTGTTTTATCCATTTAAGGTAGCCATTAATAGGATATGATATCAGATAGACGAACAGTGAATTATCTTAATTGCGATGATTGCTAGATTTTTATGAAATTATATTATCATAATAATTTAATGAAAAGGCTCAGTTTGCCTCGGTGATGTAACTATTTAATGTTTTGAAGATATTACTGTTTTTAAAATTATGTAAAATTGATTGGCCCTTTTCGCTTCGAACACGACACTGAACAAACGTACTTTAATCAAACCTTAATTATTATAAAATTATTTTATACTTTTCCTATATCACATACCAAATAATAAGCGTTACATTTTTTTCTAGATGCAAATCAGCTCCAGCGCCAAATTTCACTTGGTCAAAAAACGGTGCGAAACTGCCTGTGAACACATCAACGAAATTTTTTGCTGAATACCATAAAAATGACCCCATAACGTATACATCAGTCCTACTTATAAACGATATAGGGACTTCAGATTATGGGTCGTACGAGTGCGGTGCGAGAAACGACTTGGGTTTCAGCACAATATCAGTCAAATTGGATGTTACAAGCGCTCCTGGTAAGTTTGTTTTTTTTTAGTTTATGGAAAAATTACGGTGTTATGTTGAAAAAAAGGTAGCGGGTTTGGTTTCTGTATGGGGGTTTTAGTTGACCTTGCAATGGATTGATTTTGCCACCGTTCAAGTAATCGCTATCACAGTGATTCTCATGGGTTTCGAGTAAGGAGAATAATTTTACTTTCACATATATGTATCCGCCGTCAATATAATTTTTGTTTTCTTATCTTACATATAAAATTTATGTATATATTATGTGGATTTTAGTATGTATATCTATAAATATATACGAGTATAAATAATAAGTATATTATTTCTTGCACTTATGTACGTACATACATTGCCCTGATAACATTTTCTTTCACATTCATGACTTTACTGGAAGAAATCTATTTAGAGATAAATTCACCTTTGCTAAGTTATAAATTTACTATATTAGTATATATTTTCTGTCTTTTATATGTGTAATAAAGTATATAATTCAGACAAAACAACAAACAAAACAGATCAGTTCTTTTCTCTGTTTGTCAAACGATAAAAAAATGAAAACCTATTTTTAATAATGATTGTTGTTGAATTTACGACGGGTACATTTACACGGGCGATGTCGCGAGTTAAGTCTAGTGTAATATACAGCATTTGTTTGTTCCCAATTCTCCATCTAAATTATTCATATGATATGGTAATGAAAATGTGTGAATCGTTCGCGGCAGAAATAACCTGTCATCTCCTAAATCCATCTAACTTTAACAAGAAAACAGTAATATAGAAAAACTAGTGACTCACCTTCGCTCCGCTCGGGTTCTTCCCTAGTTACGTTTTATCGTTTCGTGTAGATTTCTCAGAGATGAGATATTTTACCGCAGTAAAAAGTATCCTATATGTTGACCCGAATAACCAGCTGTTGATACCAAATTTTATCAAAGTGTGTCCAGTGGTTTTCTCGTGATGCGTTCCCAGACAGACAGACAGACAGACAGACAGACAGACAGACAGACAGACAAAATTTCTAAAAACTATAGGTTCTGCCTCTGTAGCGATATAATAACACATTGCTTCACTTTTATTTATCTATATAGATAAATTGTAGCACATCTCCTTTTTATTCTAATTTATTTATTCTGTTACAGATCAAGTGACATCAATTGCAGTAACTAACGTTACGTATAATTCAGTTTCACTGTCCTGGGTACCTGGTTTCGATGGCGGCTTATTTTCCTGGTTTAGAATACGATATCGGTAAGATTTTTTTAATATTTGTCTTAAAACTAAAGGACCCGACAAACGGCATCGTGTTGGAAATTTGGCTTTTCTTTTAGGTAGCATAATTGATTTCGACAATAAAACGAATACTATGAGAAAAACAGAAAAACTTCATCAAAATCTGTCCAGCCGATTAGGAGAAGTTCAATGACATACACACGTACAGAAGAATTATATATATAAAGTATAGCTAACTCTAAAGTAGAATGACAAATAATTAAATCTGACCAAGTGTGAGTCTGGCTAAGTGTTTCTACAGCCTGAGTTTCTCTTGCCAGTTCTCAGGTTTGAGGCTTTTTCGTTTCGATCTGGTGGTACTTACACTAATGTTTTCGTAATAAAAAAATAATTAAATTTTTTGTAAATAGTAAAAAAAAATTAAAATTCAATTCAATTGTCTTCTTAGCGACTTCAGAGTTTTGAAGCCACTTGAACATAACTTTCATCGTCGTCATGTAAGATTTAGAATACATGATCGATTATATTTTATTGGTAATGTAATATATTATTTTAGGACGAATTTCTTCATTTTATGATGTATTTTTTGTACATAAATTAATATTTTAACATAATAATGTATTTGTACAGAAAAATCTACGACGAAACGTATAGATATGAAGATGTTACTCCTCGAAATTCAACATCGTACACAATACATGGCTTGGAACGTAATACTGACTACGTTTTTTCTGTAATGGCGATAAATAAGATCGGTCAAAGCAAATATCGACCAGACGAAACGAAAGCTACGACGCTTAGTAAGTATTCTATTTTTTTTTTATAAAGCTATATCGATTTTAATTAAATTTTCTTGAAATAATAGGTGATAATTATGTCACCTAATATAGTATTATTTCATTATATGACAATGTGGTTCTAGACGATAAGCCAGACGGATTGTGATTTTCCCAAATGGTTTTATAATAACGTCATTTGTGTAATTATTCAAAACTTTTAAGATAACTTTTTATTTTACTAAGTGATTAAGTTAGAACTTAAGTTTTAAGCCCTAGCAGTATTTATTATTTAAATGTAACAGTGTCTTTGAAATTAATAGCCAACAAGTTTTAATAATATTACACACTAACGACTTACCCTCACTTCGCTCGAGTGCGTCCGTAGATGCCTATGTGTTACTCCAAATTATAATCTATCTATGCATGATTATAAATATGTAGGGATATTAACACACAGCACCATCTAGTTCCATGGTAAGCTTCGAGGCTTGTGTTTTGGATACCAGATAGTTGATAGTGTATCAACACTACACATATAAAACTTTAAAAACGTACATACTTTAAATATATACGTGTGACTGGAGTACAAACATTCGTGCTTACACACAAATGAATGCCCCCAGCGGGACTCAAACCCGCGACCGCTGGCACTACAAACTGAGCCAAACGTGTCTTCATATCGCACTTTCCTATGAAAATTCTGTGAAAATTACCTTTCTTTCTAAATGCTATCCATAACTAACAGAAATGAAAAAACATTTCCTCTATAACATTAGCTGTTAAACAAACAAATCATGTTTTCAAATAAGCAAATTCTGTTTAAAAATATAAATTAATATATGTATAATAATATATAATAACCCAACAATAATATATTTTGATTATTAATGAACTATGCAAATATATGAAATCATTTGTATTTAAACAAAACGGCTGATAGAATATTCATAGAGACGGTTTATGTACGCTATAAATGAGCGCTAGGGTGATTTAAAATAATATATAAAGTTATAGATCTATACATAATTCATTTTAAACTATAATGTCTATAGAAGTAATAAAATATAAAATATGTATGTATGTAGATATCACTACATATTATAAAATAAAGTCCCCCGACGCGTCTGTCTGTCTGAACGCGATAAACTCAAAAACTACTAAACGGATTTTCATCGGTTTTTACCAATAGATGGGAGTGATTCATGACGAAGGTTTTGGTGTATAATTTAGTAAAGAAACAAACTTCAAAATATATAGTATGTAATATTTTAGTCCGCATGAGATTAAATATGGAAAAAATGTGTTTTTTAGTTTTTCCAAAATCGATCAGAACATAATTATTACTTTTAAACGTGCTTTAGGAAGGCTAAAGGTATTTGTCCGGATAAAAATATCCGCTAAATAATTTGGTAGAGGATATAGCGTGAAAAAAGCTTGAATGTTATAGGAACACATAAAGACAAACGTCCAAAGAAAAAATTTTTTTTTTTTTTGCACCAGAAATCTTTGCAGGCGTATACAGAATAACCCACGAGAGTTTCATCACAATCGGATCAATGGTTTAGAAAGGCATACAGGACAAACATAGAAACAATAATTTTGATTTATATAATAACTGGAAGTACTCGCGGCTACGCATACGTTTAATCTACAAAAGAAATTCTGGCTTTATGTAAAAATACTAAAATCACGATTAAAAAATGGGAGAGTGAAAAATACCTTACGAACTATTCTCATACCTACCAAATCTACAAAAAAAAACTCATTAAAATCGGTCGAGCCGTTTCGGAAAAGCGCGAACACAAACACCGTGACACGAGATTTTTATATATTAGATATAGAAGACTTAGGTACTAGTTATTTGTCATTATAATATATCCTGTTTGTATAGACGTCATCCCGTCGTCTGTTCAATCGAGTTCTGAAGAATACAACTCGTACAATGTGCCGGGGGTTTTCATAATCACTGGCACTATAGTTGGAACGGCACTAATACTTTTAAACGTGCTTTTGGTTGGATTTTGTCTTCATCGAAGAACAAATAAACGTATACGAGGTTTGAGTCGATAGCCGTCATAGAAGTAGTTCAGTGTTGTAGAAGTGGTTGATTTTGCTTTAAATGTTATTCATTTGTATCCATTTAATATGACCTTTCTGCGATTGGCGATCTTTTTTGTTCTGCGAATTTTCACTAAAACTTCATCATCAGTGAGTTAGTTAATGACAATAATACTAACATATAAACATTAAAGCAAAAATGAACGCTTTCGTGTATTTTTTTAATATTTTTTTCTTATTTTCTTTTATTTCTTTTCTTTATAGCTTCTTCAGAAGTAGGTGAACTTAACGTGGTTTCAACAGAGCATGTAGAATCTGCAGAAATATCAATACCAACTGCTATTTACATATTAATTGGTGCTGTAGTGTTAGTTTTGAATGTTTCTTTAATCGCATATTTTTGTTTGAGACGACGTTTGAGACGTATGAAAGGTAAGTTTTTTTTATTATTTGCCTTAGTTATAATTTTACTTTTGTTTGTTTTTATTATATTATTGTATGAAATAAAAGTAGTATAGATGTAGCCATTATTAGAATTTTTAAATAAAAATATTTGTCACAAAATAATTTTTTTAAGGCAAAAAGATCAAATTTATATCAATATGAAATTATATATCATTTATTATTCATACAAACATACATAATATACATGTAAATAATATTATTTATTTCTTATATAGAACAAGCTGGGCAATCGTCAAAATCAGCTACCATAGAAATGTACGCACCTTCGTCATATAACGATACAATGACCGGAGAAACTTTAAGCTCGGTGTCTGAAAAATCTGAAACATACTCTCAAGATGGGGATGAAAGACCACCCCCTATCCCGGAGGTCCCTAATATGCCGAGTAGGCATATGTTAAATCAGGTAATTAGCACTAATATTAGCACTAACACTATCTAGACTACCAACATCTTACCATTTTTTCGCTCAAGTGCGACCCTAGTTTACTATTTTATCTATATCTACATTTAATAAATACTTTTTGGAAAATCTTATTGAAACCTATTGAAATAGTCTTTATTATCGATACAGAGGCCGAATCTACAGTTTTTAGAATTTTGTCTGTCTGTCTGTCTGTCTGTCTGTCTGTCTGTCTGTCTGTGACCGTATCACGGAAAAACCATAGGACGGATTTTGATAAAATTTGGTAGAATGATAGCTTGTTATACGGGTCGACATAAAGGATACTTTTAACTGCAGGAAAATATCTCATTTATGAGAAATCTATACTAAACGTTAAAACGTAAGTAGGGATGAACCCGAGCGGAGCGAGGGTGAGTCGCTAGTGTATTTATAATATTATATACAGTCATAGCCTACGTGTTAATCCAGGTCATAAGCTATCTGGGTACTAAACATCCAACTCCGTCCAGCTGTTACAGCGTGAAGAAATAACAAACATGCACACATACACTTTCGCATTTGCATTAATAATGATATCACTAACACTAATTTTAGCACGCTAAATGAATACTTGAAAACTTTGTTGACGTAAAACAGCGTGAAGCTTAAACCCAGGATCTCGTAAAATGCTAGATGTTTTTACAATCGAATCTTATGTCAGATATAATAATTTGATAAAAAGATAATAAAAGAAATAATTGCAAGCAAACTTGTATGTCTTAGAGAATTATTATTTTTTTTTGAAAGACGTGTAATGTCCACTATTCGACTATAAGTCAGTGTGGTGGGTTCTGCTTTAATTTCTCCTAGAGAAAGGCCTGTGTCTCATCTTGTATTAATTTAAAAAGGTAGATTCATTATTAATTCTCAAACATCTAACATCAAAGGCATTATTCATAGCAAGATGAACATTAGATATTTTTTTATCTGAACCTAGCAATCCATTTACTACTTACTCGTATGAGCAAAATATATTTTCCATTTGAAATTGAAATCTTTTTTAATATCTCGGTATACATTTTAAAAGAGTTTAAAAGATTTAGAATATTTAGTAGATGTTCTGGCGTGGAGTCAAATCAAAGACTTTTTTAATATTTGATAAGTTAATGCAAGTTTTGAAATATTTGGTAAACATTAATTTTAAATTTAGTTAAAATCCGTTCACTACTTTTTGCGCGAAACGCACACAGACATACAATTAAAAAGATAAACAGACGAAAAGTTCTATAACTATTCTTTTGGGGTCTATATTCTGTATGTTATAGTCATTATTTTTATAAATAAATATTTCTTGTTCTGATTTCGCTTTGGTACTATTTTATTATTTGTATAAATAATGTTATACATATGTGTTGTATGTGTATATGTTATAGTATTATGAGTGATATGTTATATGTGTTTCTCCAAGTCATAGTCCATCAATGTACTAAATTTCATCAAAATCGGTCCAGTCGTTTCAACGTGAAACAAACATATACATACAATCTTTCAAAGTTATAATAGTAGTGTATTAGAATGTATATACTAAAAACAAGTTTATTTCAGACGGATGCCTATCTAATGGATGACCAAGGACTTATCCCACCCCCACTCGATTACCCACCACCCAACTACGCTGTGTATGAAGGAGATCATGCGAGGACATTACCCCATCCCCACAGAAATAAGGATATGTCGGGACATAGCACGTTGGGTAGAAGTGCTGGTATGTATAAAGAAAGCATTTTTTTGGTTTAATTTGCTAGTGTCTTCTGTTTTACACTTTGGATGGAGGAAAAAAGTGATGTAGGTAATTTATGTATGAGTTCGTCAAAAATATTTGCTAGTGTGCATACAACAATTCACAAAAATGTTATCATAATCAGAATGAACAGTTTATGAATGCAGACGTAACAAACAGACATACAGACATAAATTTTATAGCTCTTCTTTATAATTCTTAATTTTAAGCCTGTTAAGTAGAAGCATATGTGTTACTCCAAGTCATAGTCTATCTGTCCAATCCATTGATCCAAAATCCATCGATCCGTTATAGCGTGAAGGAGTAACAAACATACAAACTTTCCCATTTATAATAGTAGTATTATATATGTACACGTTTAACTGCCTTGGTGGTTTAGTGGCTAGCAAGTACGGCTGCACATCGAGAGTTCCTGGGTTCGAGTCTCGGGTCGGACCAAGTTTAGTTATTGAGTCTTTCTATTAAGTCAGCCTCAGTAACAACCCGGAGTTGGGAAGTTGGCGGTGTTTCACCCCCGTGGGGTTACCCGAGGACATTATTATATATGTATAATTTTCTAACAGGTAAACAGAGTTACATGCCAGCACCAAGCCCCATGCCACCGCTAGATGGCTCTTACTTCAACATGGCGTCTGATAGATACCTCTCATATCCACCGATTATAGGAGAATATCTACAACACGTAAGTTATTTTAATTATTTTTAAATAAGTAAAATGCTTATAAATTATATTAGCTAATATGAAAAACTTAAAGAGTTTGTGTCCTTTTAATGTTTGTTTGAATGCGTTTATCTCTTTAACTATCAGTTCGATTTATAAAAATTAAAGACTTAACCCACGGTACTTTATTAGTATCTCTTTTTATTATTTCAAAAACAATAAAATATACATATTTTATTCGTATAAAATATCACGAAACATATTTAAGAACTCCAAGTAAAGAAATTGTCATTAGTGAATAAAATACAAAAATATACACAAATAATGTCCTACTATACATATATTTGAGAAACTTTCAAGAAAGGTATCATTTGTAGACGTATAAGTACGCTTAAATCATTTATATGAAGTGAGAATTGTGGTAATTGGCGTCTTGGCACCTACACTTTGAGTACAGTGCCAAGGTGCCAATAATTGCCAATTAGACTATACGCAAGAGTTCTTAAGGGCTTACGAGGTTATATCATATCGAAACTGGCTTTTTCATGCTAGTTTGTTCGAAAAATTTTGTTATATTAAAATGATTAGCTAAATTAGTTCTTTTTTTACCTTATACACGTATATTAATTAACTTTTATATTGAAATGAAATTTGACTTAGTCATATTAAATTTTTTACAACTTGATTTATTTAATTATTGATATTAAAGACGTAATCCCCAAAACTATTGATCTAATTCGGAAAATTCCTTTAATCTAAAGTTGTAAGCTATTTTTACCTGACTGCGCGTCACAAAGGAGGATAATGTGTTTATCAGTCTACGTATGTATGTTTGTGGCATTTTAGAGACCAAACGCGTGGGCCAATTTCGATGATTCATACTCGCACGTTGTTGATTTGTCTCGATAACGCAAGTATTATAGGCTATATAAAAATAATTAAAAATTTAAATAGCGAAATTTTCAGGCGTAAATTTGTGTGTCTTTAAAAAATCTTTCAAACCGATCGAGTAAGGTTCCAAAATAAAGGATTTTAAGAGGCGATCATAAAAATACAACTTATATGTTTAAAAGTCATTTAGTATAAAAAAATGCTAAATTTAATGCAAATGTCTAATTGGCAAAAACTAAAAAGCTATAAATAAAAAAAATTATTATTGTTACAATAAATAAGTTTTTATCAATATCAACTGTTATATTTATTAAGATTGTCTTAATAATTGATTCATGAACGACCATTTTTATTAAGAAAAAAACATAAAATCACAATATAAACTATTATATTTAAATTGAGTTAAAAACTTAGAAAACTTCGAGCCAAGCAAAGATGTCACCTCCCATTATACAGAAGTTTCAAGACATACACTTGAAGTTAAATTACGGCGATGCTTGTTAAACTCGAAACTTGCGCCAACAAAGGACTATGAGTAATTGGTTTTTTTAAATCTGATAACCACTTCATAAAGTTTTTACTTTATAAACATGAAACAAAAACAAATCCATCCCACGGGAACCGTACATTTTTCCGGGATGAAAAGTAACTTATGTGCTATTCCAGACTGTAATCTATCTACGTGCCAAATTTCATCCAGATTCGTTCAGCCGTTCGGGCGTGATTAAGTAACCAACATACATACATCCAAACTTTTGCATTTATAATATTAATGGGACTAGTTTGTACATATTGATATTGGAAAAAAAGAAGGCTATGCATTCCAATATGTAATGTTGTAAAATGAAATAATTAAACTTTATACCATTGGACTTCTACAAGTCCTTTTTTTTTAATTTAAAGAGCATCAATTTAGATTGTAAGGAATCTACCACTCGCTCGGAAGACAGTTCTGCTGAAAAGAGAAACGAGAAACTCAACAGTTTTTCTTTTAAATATCGAGTTACGTTTTTTTACAACGTTATAATTAGCCTGCATATGAGACAATATATCTCAATTCCATACATTTCCATCAAAAAGAAACTCTTTAACAGATGCTTTACTCAGTAATATATATTTTTCACTTAACGATTGCTATATATTTCAAAAAAAAAACACCTTATATAGATAATTTATAAAACAAAACCTTATCTAAATGCAAAATTTGATCCAAATTGAGCTGTTTCCAAGATACACGAAATAAATTTATATATATACAAAAATTTCTCATTTAATATTTTAATGTAGTGGGTTTTTAGGAGCTCTAGATTTCATGTGATATCAGTAATCGAAATTTTGAAGGTTTGGAGAAGTAACAAACACACGTACACTTTAAGCTTACACATTAGTAACGATTTATCGTCCTTGGATGCCTTTTGTACTCATAATATTATATAAATATTTGATTTTTATTACAAGCCTCTTACCTACCTATCTGTGTGCTAAATTTCCAAATCCGTCCAAGCGTTACAGCGTGTAGGAAAAAAAACAAACATACATACATACTTATTATAATAGTGTCATATTAATGCGAATCTAGATTCATATCTTGGGAGCAACTCGACAAATAGAAATGGAAGTTAGCTATGTTTGCAATAAAAAAGAACCACTGCAGTCTACTTAGCTTTTAGGAGTAAGAATTGCGCGATTAAATGTCCAGTCAATTTGAAAACTATTGCTTTGGCATCAATCCTATTTCAAATAACCTCTTATAGACGATAATTTATAATTCAAGTTTTCATTATATTTTTTTTATTTTATATGGAACCACTCATATCAATCATATCAAAATCATTCATTAAAAAAACCCACTACCGAATTCAAATGGTACCTTCTTTTTTTAAAATTGGTCAAATACAACTCAAATCCTGTTCCAAAATATCCGAGAGAAAATACTACCTTCAACGGCTATAGAACCGTATTTGTATATAATTATGTGTCACAATGCCTGATGATCTTTAAAGGCATTTTTTTTGTAATTATTTTTACACCAGAAGGGATGGGCCGTTAGAAAAATAAAGGCATATTTATAATACCCTTCAATTTTCATATTATGATAGGGTATGAATAACAAATTGTGGGGGAAGCTTATTTGAATACAAGCTTTTGTTTCCTGATTTTCTTTTTATGTTTAATATTTCATATAAAATCGAAAGTTATCATAAGTATATTATAGCAAATTGATGATGCAAATGATATTTTGTGATTCAGTCTTCTCTCTTATTCTTTAATCTAAGTAATCCATACTTAATATTATAAATGTGAAAGTGTGTTTATTTGTTTGTCCTTCTTTCACGTCAAAACGGAGTGACGGATTAGCGTGATTTTTTATGTGGAGATAATTGGAGGGCTGGAGAGTGACATAGACTTCTTTTAATCGCGGGAGACTATCTCATTCCCAAGGGAAAACACGTAATACAATCAAAAAATATTTATGATCAGAATAACTTAAAACTTGGTGTTAATTCTCTTCAATAAAATTAAATAAATATGTGTTTTAGCATTTTTTGAAATCCATCCTATAAGGGGGTAAAATAGGGGATGAAAGTATGAAATTACTTTTTTAGAGATTTTTTGTAGTTTTATCGCGAGCGAAGCCGCGGGTTCTTCTTGTGAGCAATGAGTAAAATAAATATGCAAAAATGAAATGTATAATAAGAATGCCGTTTGGTCCCTTTTTGACTTTCTTTAGTTTTGGAAAGTGTTTTTTAATATTGTTACGTTGACTGCAACCGTTTTTTGACGTGAAACGTCTTTAAAATCACACCAAAACATACGGGTACAAGGTCAGAAAAGTGGACCGTAACGAAGTAGGTTACATTCAGTTGCCATAGTAACCGTTGTTGTTGTTGGAAAAATGGTATATACCTTTGATATTCTTTTTGTTGCTATCTTCAAAGATTACTATTTTTACTTATTTGTTTTCAAATATGCAAAATATATTTAAAAAATAAAAAAGCTACTCGCTGTTATAGACGTTTCATATTAAACCAACGACGGTGGGCCCTAACACAGCCCCATCCGATTTTTTTCAAACTGGGTCAAATATCCATATAAAAAGAAGCTACAAATCGTCCGAACTATCTCTTACTAGCTTACTCCACAAGAAAAAAAACTAAAAAATAGAGAACGAACGTTTGAACTTTTCATATTAGAAAAAAAACTTGCTAGAAATTGGAAAACATAGTGTTTCATAGAAATACTACATATTTACAGTTCTACATAATTCTGCTTCAATAGCAATCCATTGCTTCGAAGCTGGCGAGGGTTTTCAATCATACACACAATAGGTTCGAAGATACCAATCGTACAATAAACTGTATCAGTTTTCCTCATACTTGGTATAGCCTCGTTTTATATTTACTAACTTCTACCTACGTTCTTGCGTTATATTATGAAATGAAATTAAACTTTATTCAATTAGAATTTTTATAAGATTTTTTGAATCTATACAGATAAATAAAATAACAGTTACAGCGTATCCAACATACTTACATACAAGTATGATATAGAAAACATACGAACTAAACATATGATTATTTTTATGTTTAGCAAACTGGACGAACTCCCACCCCTCCACAGCAGTACTCATCAGTAATGCCAAAGCCACACTTAATGAATGGAGTGCCACCTTCTCCTTCTTACATCGCAAGCCCACCTCTCAACATGGGATTAGATGGTAAGTCTATTTTTAACCGACTTCAAGTAGGCAAAATGAATTTCACGTCCTTTTTTGTGACTTATCGAGTGACTATTTTTATAATTTAAGGAAAAAATCCATTTAATGAGACATGGTTACTTTCTGAGGTGATTTGAAGTGATTTAATATATAATATGAAAGGTTACAGCCGATAACATTTTAATTTTTAGATGATAATCTACAACCGTTTACGCTTTTAGAAAACTAAATAATTTGTAGACGTGACATTTAATGAAATTTGACGTAACGCTTATAACGTAGATATAAACGTTATACTTACACAGCTTTACATAATTGACAACGTATCATTCCCATGCAATTCTTAGTTTTCTTAAAGCGTGAACTTCTGTAGACCGATTATTCACTAAAACATTACCTTTCACCCGCCCGCCCAAACTCAATGTCTTCCTCAAAACGTGATACTAACAGAATGTGTTGTGCCTTAACCATTAAGCATTTTCAAATCATTACAGAAAAAAATAATTGAATGCATGTTGTTAAGTACCTTGAGTTAAGTAGTTCTTGACATGACTTTGTCACGTTCTATGTCAAATAAAATTGGTCATATTCTAGTCCAGGACATCTAGACCAGCTAAGTTTCATCCAAATCTATTTCCGCTAACAATAAATCATCTGAAAATATTATTTCACCAACTTTCACATTTATATTATTAAATAGAATTAATTTTAACATTAAAAAAGTGAAATATTACTATAAACGCTATAAGATAACATTATTGTTTACCCAGGTCTAGACAGACAGTCCGCGGGCGGTACTTTGAGAAGACAAAGATTCGACAAAATGGCTGTCCCGCCGCCTGACGTCACTGTTCTGCATCAAGGGAATTGCAATCAGGTAATATAGTAGTTATTTAGGAAAAAATTTAATGTTCATATTTTTTGGTAATTTATGCTTGTTTTTAGAATAATTGTAATAAAAATACATTTTTATAAAAGAAGTGTTTGTTTGCTTATTGAGTTTTTAATTTGGCTTTCGCCTATATACCTATTTAAAAAGTTGACGACCATATTATAGGTAATTGAGCTAAATAAAGACATTTTTATCCCGAGGGAACTCACGTGACAAAATGCGAGATTGTCTAATTGACTTATATTTTATAATAATAGAAACAGGTTCGATTCCTAAGACTCCTCCTCCTCCTATAAAATTAGCATTTTTATATATCTATTATATATTTTTCAGCATCCGCCCATGAATCAGACTCCAGCTATAAAACAACCTCAGTCAATTTTAAAAGATCCATCTAGGCATAAATATGGAAATCAGTATGGAAGCCCAATATCGTCTAGCACTCCACAAAACTCGAGTCAAATTCTCACTGTCCAAAACCTCACTTCTGACGTACCTCAATACGGAACCATTAAAAAGGAAAATAAGAAACAAAACGTAACTATAGACGAATCGTTCAATAAACGAAGCGAAACACATGTAGTTTAAAAACATTAAAATTTCAATAAAGTGTTAAAGTGTAAAACTTACATGAATGTGACTGAAATGTGAAGTGATGAATTATAAAGTGTCAAGTGTTAACGAACAGGATCTATTGTAAATAGATGAGGACTAGTAAAAATTAGATAGTTTTAAAATTTCATTGATTGTGATACCAATGATCGAACTTTTGAAGTGTAAGTGTCCAGAACTTTAGATAGACTCTAAGATTTTGAGCCCAGATCATGATAACGGGCTAACGTCTCGTTTAGTAATTATTTGACTGATTTATGAATAATTTTGTTATTAGGCGATACGTCCAGACCATCGTTTATTATCTAATAACATTTCAAATGAAAAGTAAAGTGCTGAGAAACGAGTAGTGACTAAATCGATTTAATGATTCCCACGAAGGATCTCTTTTTTGGTTAAGTTTTGATTAATAATGATGTTTGTTGCATTCGATTTATCGATGGAATTTTATGGGAAAATTTTAAATTTACCCTAATGTTCATATGTTCTTTTTAAGTTTTCTCGAAATATATATGAATAGCATTGATTGTTATTATTATGGGAAAACATCTCGATTATATGTAGATATTATGACTATTTTTTAAACATTATCTGTTTAACACATGTATTGAACGAAATAATGCAACTACATAACATTATTTTGCTGATTTATGAATTATGATTCAAATAATATTCAGAAAAATGATTTAAATCAATTGAATAATAGTGTTTTAATGAATTGATTTATGCAATTTATAAGTCTTTGTAATATACTAGTAACTTTTTATTGTTGCATTTCACTATGTAAATAAACAATATAATACTCAACCCGAACTGACAATAATAATAAGTTCTATTAATTATTATTAATTTAAATTCCCGCTTACAGTAATTGTATATAGATCATTGTAATTTTACATAGCATTTTACAACAAAATTTAATCGGTTTTAACACACATACCAAAGTTTTATTATTTCATATTTAATTTTAAGCTACTTTTTATTTTATTTTTAATAGTTTTTTTTTCTAATCGATTTTGTAACATTTATTCGAAATAAATTGAATTAAACCGACTGATTTGTCTTATAAAATGTTGAGAGCATTTTCGAAATTCCCAAAATCCATCCATTGATAATACGATTATATTTACAGATGGAAAATATTTACTGTTACATTTCGAATTTAAATAAAAAATCTAATATATTATATTATTTTGTTTTATTTTCTTTTAATTTCCCCTATTTTTTTCCTTTTTATTTTGAAAACTCCAATTATTACAAACATATCATTATTGAATTTATTCATTTATTGTCAATGAATGAATGTACATTTTCATTTAAGATAACTTTAGTAACATTCAAAGTGCCAAAGTAGTTGGTTGTTTTACTTTAATTTTTAGTATATTTTTGTTTTATTAATATTAAATAGATTAATATTGTAGCTACGTTACGTCCTTCTACATTAAACGTAAATTTAGTGAAGTATTCAAACCGTGCCTTATAATTTTACGCCATTTTGAGAATAAAATATCACTTAAGATATTGCCAAAATCTAATCTTAAAAAAAAAACGAACTTTTAGATATAAATCGTATAGATTATTTAATTTAGCTAAAAAAATAAATTTCACCTATTCGGTTTTCATTTGCAAAATTCATTGTCTTTTATACGTAGCCAGGTACATTGCGTTACCGTAGACTGAGTAAGACCTCCTTAGTTAATTTTGTGAAATAAATAAGTAAATAATAAAAATAACGTATTTTGTCTTTTTCATGTAAATTTCATATTTTTAAAGTATTTATAATACCATGCCAGTTGTGTTGCTTATAGAATTCGTTGTTATATATGAAATGTTACTGTTTGTTTCAAAACTCAAGAGCTTGTCATATAGTATTAGGGACTCGAATGTTCAAATCATTTTGTCAATATTTCTAAAAGTAACTCTAAATTAAAGTCAATGTTAAACTTTTGAAATTAAATGTCACCTATATTTAACGTACGTCTCGTTTATAAATTCTTAATTCACTAAAATTGTTATACAATTAATTGAATAAAAATGTTTTTAGTTTAAAAAAATATTTTTTCATCGTATGGATGCGTGCTCAATGGTTTCATTAAATTTATGTAAGAATCACAATATTTATATGAATTTTATCAACGTGTAACATATGAAACATAATATTTTATTAACTTTTATGAAATAATTATTAATAAAATAAATGTAATAAAAAATAACTTCTTCAATTATAATGTTCTGTTGGAAAAAAACTTATTTTTATACATATTTTCCACGTTGATAAAACCCCATTTCTCGTTCATTGTAAAATATCTCCTCTTGATAAAGTAATAAGGTTGTAAATTGTTCGATAATTCCAAATGTGACTTTGATATTACGTACATATTGCTCATGATGTGTAATCAGCATAAATTGGATTAAAGCATATATGTTAAAGATGTATTTTTATTTCTTAACTAGGTGTACCCAATTATGAGTTAGTGTGATTCAGTCTAGTTATGTCTAATTGTTAATTACAGGAGAATAAATAAGAAGAAAATATTCTCCGTATACAAATATCTAAAGCAGTGGCAGCCCTGTGGCACAGTCCAGAAATAGGGTTCAAACTCTATTTCTTTTTCTAACAAAAAATTAGCCGTTAGTCCTTATAACATCAGCTACCAGTGAAAGTCCCGTCAAAATCAGTCCAGGACGTCCGGACATTAGCCGTGACAAATAGATAGAGAAAATTTTCTAGAATTGTGTTTTTCTCATCGTGCCGTATATAATTTCATATGTATAGTAAAAAGCTGTTATTTTGAAATTACAAACAGACTCTTCAATTTCATTTCATCTGTATTCATGTGTATAAATTGTGATTTGTCTTAAAAAACCAGTCAAATGTACAAAACAAGAGTAGCCATTTGGATCTCGTAGTATTGTCCTACGACGCTACGGAAAAGCTACGAGCGTCAGACATATTTAGATTTTAGATAGAAAAATTACATAATATGTATTAAACGAATATTAATAAATACTTTTATTTACTCGACTATAGTGAAGTCAAAAGGAGAGATGATTTTCCCCGGATTCTACATATCTTATAAACAACCTATCATAATATTGGATAAATGATGTCTCGTTAGAAGCGTTCTGATAGTCCGCTTGTTATTAAGGAAGTATATTTTGTGCATTATACATCGTAAAGATAAAAACGATGTATGTTAATACAAATATGAAATACTTTGTAAGATAGTAAACAATATTTATTTAAACAATAGAAAATAATTTTATTTTATGTCCAAAAACAGTGCATTTATTGCCTAAAAATAGTTAAGCTTAAAATATGGACGTGTTTTGTGGACTTTTTAGAACTTTTCAGGAGGAACAATTCCGCTCTATATTATCTTCATGCAACTTTAACCAATGACAGCACGTCACGATGAACGAGACGAGCGTCATAGAAGCTCTCAAGAGGCAGAACTTTTTCAGACTTCATCGATGTAATCATAACTTTTGATAATATTTTACCAAAATGCCTGTCCATCTAGAATAATGTGCATTTTAAATGGTGAAAGAATTTTTAAACCTTGTTTGCACCTAGCATAGTTTCGGAGATTACTCTTCACATACACACATGACACAGCCTTGCAATATTCAGAATCTATTAATTAATATCTCAACGACCGTGGACACGCCGGCGTTACAGTTAACAATAGATTTCTTAGAAATTTAATTAATTTCATAGAAATTTACCTGTAGAATAGATATAGTTAGTTTTATCTACATTAAACACATCTAAGTTTTATTTAAATCGTCAAATTTATTTTAAATAAAGTATATATTAAAAAACAAACAAACAGACAAACAAAGCTAAACTAAAATAGCATTACAAACTACCTATTAGATGTGTCGTCGTAGATGTTACACCAGGTCCTTAAATTTCACGGGAACGTGTGAAAGGCATTAATATTCCAGTCTAAAATCTGAAGCGATAACCAAATATGCTAAATACAGGTCTAACGTCAAATGCAGATATCCGTACTGCTGGGTTACGGTGCAATTTATAAACTTGAAATAACATCCACATGATGCAGTAGTTTATCTTGGTGGTAGTGTATTCGATGCCTGCATCATAACCCATCGTTATATAATGAGGAAGGTATTCCCCTTCAAAACTTCTCATAATGGGATGACGATACAGCGGCCCACCGGATGTGAGTATTATTTTAACTCTCATATTCCGAAATTCACGAAATTTGACACAATCGGTGAGTTTAAGACGCAGGACCGAAAGCTTAAAATGCTCTTCGAGGCACGGATGCATAAACACCGCCAACTTCGAAATTTCAGTACTACTGGGTTATTTCGTGACAGAAAACTATTTAAACCCAACTCCGTTATGACTTGTAGTCGTACCTGTAACTAGACCAAAGAGACAGTTATACAATTATTTTGTATTTAAAATTTAAAAATAAAATAATTATAAGAAATTAAAAATAGAAGTCACATCTTCTAATCATCACTATTGAGTGCATTATAACAAGTGCATTATTCATTCATTATAATTAACCCCCTTTCCACCACGACAAGGTGAACGCACGTTGGGAGGGTTCCAACTGCTGCTAGCTACTTTGCATATATCATCGATTGCATAGGAATTTTTACCTTATTAATGATTATTACTTATATCTCGAGGATTGACATTTAGTATATTCCCTTCATATGAAAGTCAATGAGTTCGAAAGAATATCGGAAACGATTTGAATAAAAATATCTCAAACGTGTTAAAGCTGAGAAGATTTCAATATGTTTATCATTTTTTATTCTATTGAGAAACTTCACTTCTATATCATCTCTTAAAAGTTAATTTTAACCTACTTCTGAAACCGTATCGACATGAAACTTTGCATACGTGAAATGTGGACAGCTATTTAATAATTTAATAGCATTAAGCTGATTTACTGGTAGAGTCAATATGCGTATAGTAGAACTTGTAA